ACTCTCGAAGTTCGTCTCATATTTTGGCGTTTATCTCACATCAGACTGTTTTTGTTTTCTATATAACGAGCTAAGTGGACAATCTGAGTAAGAACTCACTTTGTTAGCAGCGTCTGTGTTACTGTCACTGCCTCCTTCGTTCACTGCTGGAGGTTTTCGTTTCAAGGACGTCTTGTTCAGCTTGCGCTTTTTAGACTATGAAAAAAGATGGACAGTACAACTGACAGCGACTCCTACCCAGAAATGTTTCGTGCAACAGCACTCGCAATATTGTTCGACACAAATTATACTAAAATTATGCAGCACAAATCATGCTAAATTATAAATTACACTACATTGTACTAATTATACTAAATTATTAATAATACTAAATTACGCAGCACGAGTTACTGGGGAGTGAACGTTTGTTCATGACCATAAAGGGCGAGCTTTTTTCTGCAATTCCCCTAGGAACTAAATTAAGTGCAACCGTCTTCAAGCAGAGACTGCTCGCATTTGAGTTCACGTTATTTAATTAAAGAATACGTTTTCTAGTCATTTTAATTGATCACTTCAGTTCATGTCCCGCTCTGACCATTAAGGTGGAGTGTGTCTCGGTAGACCCTACTTCAACTCTTCGGCGATGCTTGTAAATAGCTGACTGGTCTGCCTCCCGCCAGATGGGATTTTTAATCCTACTATGTTTAGCTGTTATTTTTGTTTCTTTCAGTTTAAGTGGCATGTCTGTGAACTAGCTAGGTGTAGCTAACATTAAACATAGGTGAAGGTGCAGTTAACATTTTGGCCTTGATGTTTATCATTTCTAAACAACTGATCTGATGCGCATGCGGACTCCTATTGACTTGGGAATCTCAGACGAAGACGAAGAACTCCATGGAAACACACTAATCGCTCTCTTTGGACCATCGTGGCGACGCTGAAACAGAACAGATGCCTGCAAGCATATTTTCATTACACGCTGTATCTTCTGCCTCACCTCTCCCTTGTCAGGAGTGAACTTGGTCGGTTCTTTGATGATTCGTCTTTGGCGACCCTGTGAGATGGGCGTGGTGTCCTGTGGATCAACTTCCATTTCTTCATCATTACTACTCGGGTCGCATTCCGAACACTGCCTGTTAACAAATACCACTCNAATTTCGCCGTGTATTAAGTTTCACTAGCTCTTTAGCTGTCTGGAGTCAATTCATATCTAACATGTTTCCTTCTGTACGCAAAGTCGTATGCAAATGAGCAAAACTGTAAACAATGACGTCAGCATGAATCCCCCAAAACTGGCCTGGCCACAAAGTGACATGACTTACATGTGTAGTTTGATTGGTTTTAATGGTGTCCGTGATGCTGATTGCTTTGGCTTCTTGGGTTCTAATATGGGAGGCTTAGCTAGATCCTGAAGATCAACAAAACAAAGACAAGCAATAACGTTAGCGCAATGTGCTGAAGCCTATGGAAGTTCACCCAATGCTGGCGCATTAACTGACCAAAACAACAACACCAAACTTTCTCGACCAAGTAAACCACATGGGCTGTTTACTCTTATTCAGCGAATAGTCAATCCAAAACTGGAAAAGAGACCGATTAAATATACTACCTTGGCTGCCAGCTTGCAGAGGAAGCGGTGGAATTCTGTTGATTCTGCTCTCCTTTCTTTGATGTCTTCATCGAGAAGCTGAATAGTTTCTGTCAACTGTGGAAAAGAAAATGGGTGTGTTGTACAGTAACCGACTACAGTTTGTCGCGCTATTTTACTGACTTACAATTACAACACGCTGTTTTAAAGCCACCCATGGTTAGTACTACAGTGTACTGATAACAGGTATGTCACGCTGATGTACACAGAACTACAGCCATGTCACGCTGTTTTACAGAGAATTAAAGTTACATCACGCTTTTTTAACCTCATGATACTTTTCTCTCAAGAGTTGCTCCTCTTGTTGCAGTCGTTTGTTATTCAACTGAAGCTCTTCCTGTCGTTCCTGCATTTCTTTCAATCTGGCTCTGCGATCTGAAAAAGGAAAGTAAACATCAGGGACGCCGTTACTTATTCACATTTTTAGCTGAAGAAATTCAAGGAGATTGCAACAGCAACCGAAACGTCCACTTATGGTATTTAAGCCAGTAAGTACTGCTTTGTTCTTAAAACCAATGAAGCAGGACATCGCAAAAGTTGAGACATAACAAGGAGTAAGAGAATTCATAAAATTTAAAAAAAAAACATTTAACATGTGATGTCTGTTACCATGGTAATAGTTGACAAACTCGCTGGTGAGAGCAGGTTGAACAAACCACTTGCGGCGGACATTCACAACACTCTGAGTCTGCAAAAGGCAGCGATGAAAGCATTACGCTATGCCATGAAAGGAAAGTTAACAACTGTAGACACAATGAAACGCAAGTAGAATTTGTGCACTTGTAGAAGAATCTTTCTTTTTTAGGGTCCTCAGTTAGTAGAGAGTTTTTACCTTACGACACTGTAATAAAGTTACTGATTGATTGATTGAAGTACTAAGAGTACCCGTCCTGTGGTGTAGCGTAAGTTTATTAAGCACTGGTGTACAGTGTACCTGTCCTGTGGTGTAGCCTAAAAGTTGTGCTTTCTTGAACAGTTGACGACATGCTTTGAAGAGAAAATGGAATTAATTAGCTTTATTAGCCATTATATAATAGCTCCGATTATCACTCTTCAATGGGTCAAAAACTGGCGCAAAAAGAAGCCAGGAAATAGAAAAGAAGTTGTCTTAACCTTGCTGCTTTGCCGCTTTGATTCCTTATCATTTTACTGTTGAATGTTAATTTTACACTCAGACGAAGATCCGAGCACATTGATCTACTTTCTATAAGTAACAATCATCAACACTAACAAAAGATATCAATTTGAGTTCAACAAATCTTTTTCATCGTGCATTCCCTATTCCCTCTTTTTCTAGTTTCACACGCAAATTTCCAGCAAATTGCTTATAACTGTCTTGGCCGGCACATGTTTTTACAAATTTCTCACCTCCAGGACATGTGCTCAGAAGTCGAGGAACCTTCTCTGTGGGAGCTGTGGAGAGAAAATCACGAAAAAGCTGTAATAATTATTATTTTGCACGATTTCTGCAAGGGAGCAAGAGTGATGTATTACATCTGCAGATCATTTGTGTTCTATAGAGGGCTTCAAGTCTGGATCGAGGGCATACATGAGCCTGAAAACTCTCCCAAAAGATGCCCTTAAATCATTGAAGAATAAAGAAACTTAAGTATGACTTGATATGCCACATTTATTTACAAAGGTACAGAGTTGAAGTGTTTGCCATCAGAAGTAGTGTTAAAAATCATGCCTCAATTAGTTTAGCATCTTTTTCTCGCAACTTTCCGACACTGAGGGTGATACACACCTTGTTTTATTTACATGTAAGACCTAAACAGACCTAGGACTTCTCTAAAGTTGACTATGACACCTACTGTATAATTTTGGCACATTTTTCATTCTTTTTGCCTGAAACTCCTGGCGAATAACATCCAAGCAGTGGTTCACTCTTTGCTGTTAATTAAAAGAAGGCAGTATGAGTATTATCTTGCTAGCTTACTCCTTTATTCTTAACCACCAAGAACTCTCATTTGTGAGGAATAAGCGGTCATGACTACTGAATTTTAATGGCACATACCTTGTCTTCCACTGATCGCCTTTCAGCTGCTTTCTTATAGCGTGACTGATATGCCAGCCATGTACGTCTCTAAAGAAAAAAAAAAAAACACCTGACAAGTCAGTTGTGTTTTTTTTTTTTTGCTGTACATATATCTTTAACATGGATGTCACCATGGAAAGAGTATAAAAGCAGCAATAAGCAGAGTATATTTATTACCCTGCTTGCTGTTGTTCTTTTGTCGGCATGCAGCCTGCAGTGCGCAAACAGTGGATCTGCAACATCCTGCAATAAAACACAACTTTCATCAAGACATTCACTGTCTGATATACATGTCCTGCACAAGATGACATGCACTACGTGTGTTTGTTTGTCCATAAATTTGACTTAAGATTTTTAACTGTAAAGCTGTACCTCATCGCATTCTTCTGGAACATCTGACAGAAGTCCATACATCTGGGCACTGCAGAAAATTATCCAAACAAGCAAGAAATCAAAAACGTGTTTTTATTAACATTATGTAGCATAATACTTTGTATGTTAAAAAATACAATGTGTAGGTTGCTGTTACAAAATGTCAAAGCACAAAATTAATGTGAATAAACCAAAATGTTGAGTAAAGTTTTCATGTGGGGATAGCTAATTTCTACATATATGTACATGTAGAAGCATGTGGTACTGGTTCTGATACATGTAATACTCACCATGTGACGTGAAAATATGTCCTGCACATACCAGCATCACATTCAATGCACACTCCTGTCCTACAGAACCTCTCATCCTCACAAAGATTACAATCCTAATCAGATAAAACAAGAACAACATTACCATCAATTTCAGCCTTACCCAAGACATCTCACAAGATGATCAGAACCTTATTTCTTGAAACATCAATTTAAAAAAATAAAGCAGCATTACTTTAGGGCAATAGACCAGGAACTGTGAATGAGTGGGAAGTTCCTTTGATAAATTTGTTCTTTGTACTGTAAAAAGGTAGGCATGGTGGCCTCGTGGTTAGTGCACTCGACTCTGTATTGTGTGGTCCGGTTTTGAACCCTGGCCGGACAAAATGCGTTGTGTTCTTGGGCAAGACACTTTACTCTCACAGAGCCTCTCTCCACCCAGGTGCATAAATGGGTACCGGCAAATTTAATGCTGGGGATGACCCTGCGATGGACAAGCACCCCATCCAAGGGGGAGTAGAAATGTTCCTAGTTGGTTCATGCTACATAAATCGTGATAAGCTTTGGCAGTATGGGCCACTTGGCTCAAACACAGACTTCACCTTTAGTTTTACCTTTAATATAAAAAGGATAATTTTCGAATTACCTTTGCACCCCACTTGTAAGGTGGCACTTCGGACAAAGTGACACACTGAAGTTGTTCAGGTTTCACAAATGCCACATCTGGAGTATACAGAGCACACAACAGATGAACCCACCTGGACAAATACATCAAGCATATTAGTTTACATAACATCAAACACTTTGGGAAATATTACCAGTTTACTTTCAAAAGACTATTATTTTATTAACCAGTGAGGGATAAATATTAATAGTCCCTTTAATTAAACAACTAAAAACTACATTACAGCTTACAAGAGGCAGGTAAGATTTCCAAGAATCCAAGCCAAACTTGAAAGTTATAAGTCTTATATTATCAGTGAACAGGGAAGACAAATGTGAAATCCAATATGAAAGATCCTAAATGATGGCGGATGTGATCTTTTGGATGACTTCTTTGATCAGCAACATGCTCAACAAAACAGACATCTAACTTTTAGAGCAAGCGTTAGGCTATCTACTTAAGGCATAATGATTTTAATGTGTTGATTACAACAAAAGCCCATCGGGGAGGGGGGGGGGGGGCACTCGAAAAAGGAAAAAAAAAGCCTGCCCTTCACTTACTGCCCAGTATCTGTCTCCTTGAAAATTCCACCAAGATTTGGGCATAATTCACAATCCTGTAAAATAAATGAACAATATTACAACAAAACAATGATTTATTTTTATTTTAAAAGAAAAAGAGTCAAAGCAAACAGTTAATTTTTTCCAGCAAATGTGCAGTTCCAGAAAATATCCATACTCCCTGGCCCCCACAGAAGGGATTGGAATTTCCTGGGGGTGGAGGGTTCTTTAAGACCAAAAAAATGTAAAGAAATGTAAACCAGCGCAAAGCTTAATTGGAGTTTCCAGAGGGGTGGTAGGGTCTTAGGAGAAGCCGCTTCTGTGGGGTAGACATGGAAATTTTCTGGTACTACATAATTGCTAATATTATAGCAGAAAATTTGAAAAATTAAACTTACTGGTTGCACTCCTGTCTTACAGGCATCACAAAACCACAGTTCAGTGGGTGAATCCGTGTCGTTACTCTTCCCAGAATCACTCTCCTCATCATTAATACCATAGCAACCTGGAATATATTTTAGTCATTTTTATTTCAGTCACTAATAAATAACATTAACTGAAGCTAAGGAAGGTGCCTGTGCCATGCAAATATCATATAATTATAATAGTGTATACCTTCATGAACAGTGATACCACAGTTGTCGCATTCTACTATCTCATCTCCTTCATCACTGTCAGAACAAAAACCAGGTAGAGACAACAAGTCACTACATCAGCAAGAACTAATTAAAGGTTGGAAAACATTTCCTGTGCTTCTTGCTAGAACATGTTTTCTGGTTCCCTTATTTTAGACTTTTTACTTAACAGAAGGTGTATATAGTTTACAGTATTATTATCCCAGCCTCACTTTGTTCATGATTGACTGCAGAATAAAATAACAACATATCTTGAATCAGGAAGGACCAATGTACACAAATAATCCTGAGAACCATTCACAGCAATGTAAAATTTCTTCCAGTACAGTAACTATTTTCCAAAAAGTAACCTGAAATCTTTCACTTAGTCACCTAGCCCTACAAACTGACAAAGTTTAAGCAAAATTGATTTTTGTTTTTTTACCATTGCCACGATGTCTTTGATTTTTACTGACATTTACCTCACATCATCTAAGCACACTCCACAGATTAATATGTCAACTTTCTTAGATGAAGCAGAAACTTCACTTGATGCCTGCAGGAAACAAGAAGTTGGTAGATCAGTAGATCTCAATCATTATTGTCAAAGCATAATGAGGATGCTTTGTTTTGCATGCCCAGTAAGAAATTTAGTATTGCATAGATCTTTGCTATGTGTAACAACCCTGGATTTTTAAAGGACATACATGTAGGAGGAGTGCATTGAGGACCCTGAGGTCAAGCTGAGTGCTTCTTGCACTTCTGAAATGCTCCAAACAATATTTCCAGGGTGGTAATCTGGGTGATAATCAACTGAGAAGAGCACTTTACTAACAGCTGTTGAAATAGATAAATTACTTACTACAGAACTAGGCTGACTAGGAGCTGCAGCCTTCTTCTTGGTTTTCATAGCCTCTATCAAGTCTCCTACCGTAAAGGCACTAACAGATCCTGTAAGTTCACTTTC